ATACACACACACACTAAAGCAATCTTTAAAATGCCACTCATATCCGCAGGTACCATACAGTCTTCGTTATTACACATGTGATAGAAGTTCATCATCGCCCCTAAGCAGGGGTTGACTGGTCGTGTTTACCGTTATATTTGCCTGTCACACACAAGGAGCATCACTGAGAGCTGCCTGTGGGACGAATCAACATTGATCTATTCTGGGTGAATGTGTTTATTTAGGGAGGGGCTCTGAGAATAAAACTGCTTATTGAAATATTGTGCACGATCACCAGAATCAGCATAGGAGTGGACACATGGCTGGGAGAAATCAAATGTTCCTTATGCTTATCTTTTTTTCCTCTTCTTGGGGGACTGAATATTTAGACCAGCCACCAAATTTCCAAGGTCTCTGAGATATAAATATTCACTTATAAATATTTATATCAACTATGCAGCATCGTTTTTGCCTGAAGAAATCCATTAGCCAGTGGCCTGTGCTTAAGTTGGAGGTTCCCTCCACTACAAAGCGTAATAAAGTGGAAGCCAGTAGTTTAGAGCTCACTGGATTCTACTTTATCAGCAGTGAAGCAGAGGTAGAGGTCATGGATGAGCTATGATGGTGAAATATTTCAGGCAAAAATCGATTGGACTTTTTGTTACGCTCATACTTTTTTTTTTTCAATTTTATTATTTAATACTGAACATACAATTAATTTGCATTAAAGATTTTCAGTTTATAAAATCAAATTAAAAGTCATAAAATTAAAGTAAAATTAAATAAATAAAATTAGCAATGCTGTAGTGTAAAACTATCCCATTACAAGCAAAAATATACTGTATCTCACTGATGGATTACTGTATTAGAATAGCGTAACCTTATCAGAGTTGCTATGTGCAGTGGAGAATTTCCAACTGTTGGCATTGGATGGAAAACGGGAAACCTTGTTATCAAATGCAATATCAACATTCTTGTCTGGTGAGTTGGTATTGAGCTGCTGGAAGGCTTTTAATTTGAAACATCTGTGCATGAGTTTCATACTAATACAATTTAAGGTCTGATTACACAGCATTTAAATAAAATTTTGCAGCAAAATCTATTACTTTGAGCATTTGTCATGGCGTTTGTGTGTGTGTATGTACATACAGGAGAATATCAACTGTATGTTTGCAGCCTGAGAGGCAAAGCTCAAGGGAAATATAAAGACTGCCAAGCACTTGCTGCTGCTTGTTAAGCATGGATGATGGATGGATGGATGAAACAAGGAGTGAGGTTGCTGCTGCTGTATGGAGACAAGTCAGGTCTGAAAACATGCTTCACCTCCTGTGCCTGTTTTTCAGGTATAAAGGAATCTGCAGTTTTTAGAGTTACTCTTCTCTTACTCTTGTAAAAATGCTAAAATAGAACATTAAGCACAGGTAAGGTGTCCAAGAGTCCAAAATGGAGGAAGCTACGTAGCATTTTAGCTGCGCTGCACTTTGAGTCTGTGCTTGTACTTTTTGTCCTATTAGCTCAGAAAGCTCTCTCTCTTCAGTCAGACTGCCTCTGCCTAAATGAATGAAATTATGTGATACTTCTATTTAATATTGTATTTGCTTAAGATGGACCTAATTGCAGTTACTTCATACATAATATACTGCTGGGAAAGGCTGGATTACCAAGTAGTAGACACACGCTTCAATTAACATTCAATAGAAGGGGAATCAGCTATTTCTCATTTAATCTTTGGGTACTTTTTTTCTGCCTTTTTTAATTTAATTTTCTTGCTCCCTGAATGACCCCACGACAGTTAATGAATGGTAGTCAGCAATAAAATTTTAATTACTCATTTGAAAATGTTTATACCCTGTCATTGCCACTTTTTATTGCCAGTTTTTAGTCTGAAACTTTCAGGCAAAAACTTTTCTGGCTCGGTGAGTGTAAAAATCAATCAAACTCCAGCGAAACACTGAGTTAAGGATAGTTTATCTGCCCTCCTGGGTAACATAGTTGTGGTACATAGATGTGGGAAATGTGGCTGAGTGACGTGTGGAAATGGTGAGGAGTGAGCCGTCTCCACGGGACAGCGATGAGGCTGGATAAGGAGGAAGCTATTTGTTCGGATGCTGTTTACCTCAAGCTAATTACTTTCAGTCAGACTTTGTTTGCTGCCAACATCCTTTGGCTTTAATAATGGATTTCTTATTATCTGATTCTGACTGGGATTTGCATTCCCAAAGACAGTGGGGCTACATGTTTGTGATATCGGCCTTGACTTGATTTTATGTGCAGTGCTATCATTCTGCAACAGCTGTGGATGGCAGACTGTCATCTGCACCTTCCACTTTTTCCATGATAGTAAAATTAGCTCACAACTCACAAGAGAAATGTTTTCCTGTATGCATCGTCTGCTGTGTAAAACTTAGTAAGTCATGAACTAAGGAGGGAAATACACTAGTTTATCACATTTTGAATATTTTAAAATGTTAAGTAAATAATTTATACAATAAATAATGAAACTGGAATTCCCAGTCTGACTTTTTACATGGGATTTTCCCAGCAGAGAATGCACAAAACAAGTCTCTCTAATTACTGTATCTCACCAAAACGTCATTGTTTTTTTGTCAATAGCTGTTAGTAATGGGCTCCATTTTCTGACTTTGAAATGGATCCCCAGGGGATTAATGCATCTGTAGTTAATTTCAGTCATATATCTCCCTAGTAGCCTGCTTCATTGTTTTGCATAATGCCCATGAATAATAGACCTGCTTCAGCGCCTTGTCTTGCAGGTGTAGTACCCAGAAGGACCCTGGAAGCAGAAAATCTCATGTGGGGATTTGAGCGGAGTTCATCTGCACCAGGCTTAGCATGTCGTGGGCTGCTGTTGCTGTGAATTATATGCAAGTCTCTGTCAGGGCTGTGTCCTGTCACTATCCTCCAAAGGTTGCGCAGGCTGATAGAAACAATGTGGATTCTGGTGACAGATGTATTAGGAAGTTCTTGTCTCGTCAGAAAAGTCTGAAAGTGAGTGTGTGAAATGGTGACATTTGAGGTGAGTTAATGCTGCTTAAAGCCTGTCTGTATAAAGCCACAGGAAGTCAAAATGTTTTATATTTCTTTTGCAAGGCCAACTTACAGACTTATGCTGAAGGCAAGTTTCAAAATAAAACTCTGTCCTCCACAGAAAATCTCCCTGTAATTGCACATCTCCCCGTAAACCTTGATCAGCTTTTCACCAGACAGGCTCACTCAGAGACGGTCTGATATAATAGACTCTGGACTGCCAGCAGTTTCTCTTTCTACAATTCATATCAGCGAAGGATTGTGAACAGCTTCAAAAGAGTTCTCACTGTCTGACCTTATCACTGAAGTATCAGTCTTCCTTGTTTACTTTCTATAGAGGACTTCCAGCTGAGGTACTGACCTTCTGCTGGCGATGCTGGACATCCTCAGCTCCTGAGTAATGGCAACCAGTGATGAGCTGCTCATTTTTCATCTCTGAGCTGTTTCAGGTTGATCACTATACAGTCAGTTTTTTTAGCTCTGTGACAAACAACAGTTTATGACACTTACATGTTTTGTTCACAAGTGAAGACAACTATAATGAATTTGAAGCCCAGATATAATCACCAGAAGTAAAAAGCTGTTGTTAGGCTATAAGCAAACTACACCACAGTCCCATGACTTCAGCGTCACCACCACAGCTTCCAACTTGTAATGTAATTTAGCAGATTTCCCTCTTCTGCAAACTCCTTAGTGTGACCTGATCTAGCTAGTGATCATGGCTGTGTCAGAATACTTTGCAAGTGTGCAAGTTTAAATGTAACAAAGCTAAAGGCGTACTAGTGAGTAGATGAGTCTCCGTGTTCGGTGTGATAACGTAATATGCCACACAGCCTCTGTAGTCTCATGTAGCCACTTGTTAGTAACCGCCTTTTTTATAACATGTAAAAGTTTTCAAATTCACAAGTCAAATATTTATTGCCATATTTTATTTCATAGAACACAACGTGAAAATGCATTGGCCTTGTGTGAACCTTATTTCAGGCTTCTAACCAAAACCACAGCTGAACAACCCACAGACTTCGGGGTGAACTGGAAGTGCAAAAATGCTCGCTCAGCCCTGGGTTTTAGGACTCACTACTACGGTACTCTATAGTGGCTGTTAGAGTGTGAGTGAAATCTGCTATGTGAGCATGTAGCTGCTGTCAGCACCAACCACATGTTTTCAAGATAAATGCTGTTAATTACAGTGAAGATCAATGAACAACAGTCTTTGTCAGCCACAGTTAGCCTTTATTTGGATGCTGGTTCTCTAGAGGAAAATGCAGGATCCAGTTTTGGTCAATTTGACATTTGTGCTGAAAACTTCAACGTCTCTATAATGGGTGGTTACACTATCAACTTGTCACTTTGTGCCCTTAATTCACAATGGCTCTGACTAAAGCAGAAACTGCAGTGTAAACAGATAAACCCTTTAGCAAACAAAACAGTGGAAAATGCTTTTTATGCATTATCACTAAGCACTGTTATCTCATTACTTTAAGCATGTTTTCCTACTTTACCTAGATCAGTGGATTAGGAAGATGTGGGGAAATAAAGTTGATTCATTTTGTGTTGAAAATAAAGAAATAAAGAAACTGTTCAACACTAAAGAGGTTCCTATTGTAATATCAGCAAGAGGGTGACTTATTTGACCTCTTACTGTAGGTAAGGAAATTCTGATATGTCCTTACGTGAAACTTCTCAAGAGTTACAAGAGGGGTCATTGTACAGATGAATACACTGAAGTAAACAGTTTTTGAGATGTGCGTTTTCATTTTCATATCAAAAGCATAATTTGTATTTCATTGTTTCCATTGAACATACTTCTTTGATGCGGACACATTTGTGTTCAAACACATAATCAGCTCCTCCAGAAGAACTAGACCAAGACTATGCTGCTCACAGGCTTCATCCAGCACATCTTTGTTCTGTCTCTATATTACTCTGAAGAGTGTTGCCAGATCACTATATTGACTGGACGTCTCTCTCCACAGGAGTACCAGATCGATATTATCTTCGCTCAGACCTGGGTGGACACCCGTCTGCGGTATAACAGCAGCAGCATGCGGATTCTGACCCTCAACAGGTTTGCTGGTTTTGCTGAGGATACACTGACAGCTTTATTTAGATTCCAGAAAAAGTCTGCTTTGCAGCTGCAGCACTGATTCCCATCTATTAATTATATAATTTTCTGCTTAACCATATTTTGGATAAACTGTGTGTGTTTTTCTTTCTTTCTGTTACATTGCAACATGTTCACACTGTGAATATCTAATTTGAGAACAACATTTTTCTCTCTCTCATGGGAAGAGGCCTGTAATTAATGTAAAATTGATCGATGTGCTTTGTTTTCCCCATGTCGCCTGGGTATTTTATTATCCTCTTATTGGAAAGTGGAACTGCTTCATGCATTTCTGAGAATTCAACAGCAGTCATCTCTTAACCTTCCTCCCCTTCCTTCTCTCTTTGTCTCATTGAACCAGCAATATGGTCGGCTTGATTTGGCTGCCCGACACCATCTTTAGGAATTCCAAGACTGCTGACTCTCACTGGATTACGATGCCCAATCAGCTTCTAAGGATCTGGAACAATGGAAAAATACTGTACACACTGAGGTAAAAACCTCCACAGCACATGAAGAAATGTAGAGATCCAACAGTGAAGAAGCAGGGAGTGGAGTAGCTTGGCCTATTTAAGCTCGTATCTAAGTAAAATCAATGTTATTTTCTTTTTTTAATATTGAATTTTGAATATCTGAGCTTTTGCTACAAAGCCTTGTTTTACCTCTAGCACAGAGGGATACAAACTTCTTTTCCAACATGTCATGTGTTTCCCCTCGTTTGTTCTGTTGTCTCTGACAGCGTCTCAGGGGTAGAGAAATGACACAGGGGGAGGTTGGACCTGTGACAAAACAACCCTCACTCTGCCTGTGTCTACAGAAAAAAAACCCCTCACAGACTGGAGTGGATAGGTTCTTTTTACATTTGAGTGGCACCTGGGTTTATGATCCCTCACACTCTGACATGAGCTTTTTCTGTCTTCAGGATCCAATTACACCTGCATATCCAGGATTTTACAGTAGACCTTGGCCAAATAGCAAAAACAACCTTGAATGCTTGTTTTCAGCCCCTTGGAGAAGCAGATGCAGCTCTAAGCTAAGATAGTTCAGACCTTGTCATGAAGAGACAGATAAATACAGTAAAAATGTACCAAAATGAAGCTTCTTCTCTGAGACTTGGACGTCTCATTGTATTGCCAGCTTCTATTTTAAGAGAAATACAAAGCGCTATACTTAAAATGGTTCTAATTATCACCTAGAATCTAACTCATAATTGTAAGGGAATGATTTGGGTGGTTTTAGAGGTTAATAACACAGTGAACATGAGCTTCTAATTTGAGCTCTAGATGTGCTTTAGAGCCCTAGGGGTTCAAAAAGTAAATGATCTGCTCTGAGACGTATAATCTGCACTGATCAGTATTTTTCCAGCAGCAGTGGCTCAGTGGATCACGATTATGTGTGGTATGAACGGTGTCAAATACAGTGACACACCCACTAATGATTAGCACTCTGTTTTCCTCAGATATGCACAACATTTTAATGTCAGTTCAGCAGATTGTTCTGGTTTCAGGTCGACAAACCTGGCACAAATCAGCCTTGCTTTTAGCAACAGTAGATAACCAGCTGCATCTGCCCAATAATAGACAGCAGAGAGATTAAACTAGTAATTAGCTGGTGAAGACAGCTCAGCATATAACTAACGAGCTAAACGATGAATAAATGTTGTTTCCACCTCATCTGCGTGTGCATGTTAAGACCATTACCTCATAGACAAATCTAGACAAATTCCTCTTCGCAACTAAGACCATTACCTCATAGACAAATCTAAACTCAGGAGGGAAGAAATTCCTCTTCGCAAACAGGAATGTCCCCCAAAATATGTGGGTCATTGTAGTAAGGTTCACTTCTGCTAATGCATGTCTTCGGTGATGAATGTCAAAACAATAGTTTCGTTAAAAGGATGTTAAGTGTCAAAGAGGCGTATGTTTGGGGCTGTTTTTGCCTTGATTGACACGACTCTCACTCTAACGTCTGCTGCTTTTGTTGCTGCCTTCTCTCTTCACCTCAGCCTTGCACTCTTGCCAATATTTGGCTCCTGAAAACGAGGGAAGCAAGTGTGCATATGCAAATTGGTTCTGTGCATAATCTGCACTACAAACAAGACAAGTGTGGCAGCCCCTTTTTCCAGCTTAGTCTGAGGCTGCTTTTGTGCTCTAACTCAATTAATGAGAAATTGTACTGGGGACAAAGACACAACAACTGCAAAAACAAAAAGCTCATTTTCATGATGGTCTCACTCTAACACCACTGAGATCCCTGTGCTACATCAACTAGAAATTAATTTTAGGATGATATATTGAAGTAGCATGCGGAGAATATAAAAACTAGTCAGATTCAGCTTTATGTTTTGCATGTGAAACGAATCCAGTGACCGTATATAAGTACTCCTGTTTTTAGGAACGTACACGTCGTTGGGCCCTGACCTATGCCGTCTTTGTGAAAAACATGTCTGACACTGATGATTAAACAGCTCTGTTATTTTGATGGATTTCAAGTATCAGGCAGGCAACTGAGCGTGATCCTGCACCATCTGGTTTCAAACTAACACTTCATATACTGTGTGCAAAAAGTGCACTGTGTGATTAGATTATGTGATATAAACAAGGATGAAGACTGTGCATTTACACTATGTGCTTCATGGACTGAGCAATGATGGCTCTGATGCAGTTTTTGTCTTGTGTGTCTCTCTGCATTTCTCCCTCTCTCCAGGATGACCATCAATGCCGAATGCCAGCTGCAACTCCATAATTTCCCAATGGACGAACATTCCTGTCCTCTCGTCTTCTCCAGCTGTGAGTAATGGCAAAGAACACACCCACATGCACACAAATATGTCATGCACATAACACCATTTAAAGAAAAGATAGAGCTTCATCAACACAAAATAGAAACCAAATAGCAAAGACAAAATGAGCACAACTGACAGATAAAAATACAAAATCACAGAGTTTTAAGTCGACATTTAGAGGCCACAGCAGAGAAGTGTATGGCAGCAGTCACAGTCATGAAGACTGCTCTTGGAGGTGACCTGAGCAGGTGGAAGTGAAAGCATAATTTTATACCAGAACATGTACTCAAACAGAACTGACTCACCAGATCTGCGTCAACCCCACTTCAGCTGCTACGTCAGCACAAGCAGCAACTTAGCGAAGCCCTAAAAGTGGATGTTTTCCAATGTTGAATGGAGATTGTGTTCTCAACTCACCAGAAAGATAAATGGCAGCTATTTGGTAAAACTTTAAAAACCTTTTAGATTATGTCTATAAAGAGATAATAAAAGTGCCCACATAAAGTATAGTGGTCTGGTCTGGAGCTGCTGTGAGCCACTAACACTGTGAGGAAAAACAAAAACAGGAGGGACCTGCAGGAAACTGAAAGGTAAAGTCATGTCAAAACTAATAGACTGTCACATGCTGGTCTTTTCTGCCACAGATTTACACCTACTTTTTCCCAGACATATAATTTCAGCTGACTTGCAGCGGTCGGTCTTAAGTCATAAATCCATCCCCTTTTCTTTCATCTCACTAGTGAAAAATTTGCTGTGGCCCTGCTATTGCGATTTGTCTAGGTTTTGAAAATGTAGTTTTTTACTATGTATGAATATGTATTCTGAATCACATTTTTATACTGACAAAGATTTTCAAACAAGGATTCTAAGCATTATTTTAAGTCCTTTACAGCCAGAAAATCAATCAGAAGTTAAATTGAGATATTGCTTTTAAATTACAAATGTAATTCCAGGTGTTATTGAAAGTAATTCAGTACAGATCAGAAGGTTCTTGTGCTTAAATCTTTCCAGGCCACAATTTGCATACTGTAATAGATGTTACACTACTGTATAGTGAAAGAGCTGTTGATGGCTTTCATTGCAGGTATGTCTCTTAGTGAAAGCATTTGCAATAATAATCTTTTTCTTAGACACTGACATTTGTTTCTGTATGCGGCTAAAGGATGAGCAAAGAGTATCTTCACTGGCACTGATGTTTTAGATTTTATTTTTGCTAGAAAATTACTGTATAATTTCATGGTGCATGATTTAGATTGGGCCTCTCAGCAAAAGTGATATTATTCATTAGTAATGAATGCAAATGCAAGCTCAGATATGTTTGCTAAATGATGCTGTCTTTCAAAAGGCATTTCCAAAATGCCTGGAGTTTAAGAGGTTTAATTAATTCTCAGTGCGGAACAGAGGTTTCTTGATTAAAGTAGCAAATAACTTTCATAACATCTGGTCCATGTCTGTTTTAAACCGGTCAGAGCTTTTTACTTTATATGTATGAACTTGGCTTATTTTTGGAGGCAGTGGCACTGACATCCATACTGTATCTGCACAACTCTGATAAACTATTCATCCATTTAGAAGTTCCAAAGAAACATTTCCATCAGTCTTTGCACGATGACATAACACAAGGCACTTTTAGATGCTGAAGGAAAACCTAAACTAACTGAGCAGCAAGTGCTTCACTTAGGTCTTCTCCATCTGTTTTACATGTTGCCAGCATACAAATCACATTTCACAGCAGATGGTTCGCGCGATGAAGATCTGCCGTAGAGGAGGAGGGAGGGAGACAAAGCAGACCAGAGGTGACATAGTATAGTGTCTGTCACTCATTGTTCACCGGGATGATATCTGATAATTAAGCCACGGCTGAACCTCACTTTTCTCCGATGTCAAATAATCCCTTTCTGTCCACTGCTATCTCTCGCTTACCACTCAAGGCGCATGGTTGTTCATGTATTTTGGCGCTGGAGAAACCTGATGCACAAGCTTTAGGGCCTTTTCATCTCTTTTCATCATCTCCCCATTATTACTCCAATCAGTTTCACTTATTCAGAACATTATAAACACGATGAATGTGACGACGGCCTCGCTGATCTTTCTTATCAATTCGGAATATCTTATGAAAAACAGACATTATGCAAACAATCTGACACCTTGCAAGCATGTTTTGAATTCATGGCTTGGTTCTTTTGACTCAGGAGTGTTTTAAACTGCTGTGTTTTCATTGTAATATGTTTGAAAATCAACATTATACAGTAAAAGCCACAAAAAGCCTTAACTCACATCACAGACCAGATCTATGCCTGTGATGTGAACACATCACAGGCATAGATAGCCACAATTTCGTACTGTAAAACACTGCCTGTGATGCTGTACAGGTAGGATATTTTGACATTTATACTTCATATACCATTATATATGAATAATAATAGGCTGTGTGTGACAAAGTGCTCACCAGATTGAGGGCCAGTAGGTAATTGGCTGTGTGCAAGAAATGGCAAGATATGTGACATTTTCAGGACATTTCCCTTTGCTTCTCCTCAATCAGCTACAGGATTAAATGGAAATTTTCATCTTGGACTCATAACTGTAATCTTGAAAAGTTAATTTCAGTCATTTGATTCAGCAAAACCTGTGTTGTATAATAAAATGGAACTGCAGTGAGACATGTAGATGGCATATGGGCTAAAACCAATCTGCTGAAAAGACACTATTATAACAGACCTGATACTGTGCTGCCTAAACACAAAATTGCTCAATTACACCTGTTGCAATATATTTTCTTCCCACAAAAAATGCTGAATTAACCTCATCTCAGGGCTGCTCAAACAGGCAAGTCATACATTTAAAGATGTAATCAGCAGTTTTCATCCAGTCAAGGCCAAGAAAAGCCAAAGACCTCCATCATGCCTGCTGTGTTGTTACATTATTTGAAACCCCGCAGCAGGGATTCATGAATGGTCTGTCATCAGAAGTTTTAACTCTGATTTTGTGTCCTGTACTACTTTGTGGTTTTCAGTTTGAAAATCTCTTCTAAAACTTGGCTTGACTAAACTTTTTGTGTGTGTGTGTGAAGAAAGGGGAATAATCCTGAATGCATACAGTTTAAACATATTCCCAAAGTAGTTGGTGCTGGAAATAAACAGTTACTGACCTTCTGTACGGGTATGACTGTTGAAAAGAGTTGCTGGAATGAAAAGTGCTTACAGTCAACTGTTTTCATTTCCCTTACCATAAGATAAGCTATCTTTACAAGGCACACTGTACAGTATGTTCAGTCAAGGGGGAGAACTCTAGTTTAAATAGTAACTGCTCTTACACCCATATACTGTAGATGCATACTTAGACATATCGTCTCACTGTATGAGATTGTTTCTTTTACACACAGTCCCTGATAAATAAACTTTATTATAATAATAATAATGGTAGCTACATTTAAGACAATAAAACAAGTTTAGGTTTTATTTCTGTATCTGCCATAGTGCTGGTATGGTGGCTGGGCATCACCACAGATAGAACCATGAAAGAGGGATAGCTAATATTAGCTAAACCCTCTCCGTGCTGCAATGTGAGACGAACACAACCACTGACTCAACAACAAGATGGCTCCTCCTAAATGCTGAATATTGTAAAGGAATGTTTTAAATAGCTAATGGTACAGTTAGCCTAGCTTGCTGAACTATTCTAGGTTACATTCCCTTTCTAGGACCTACTGGCAGATATTCTCACATATATGGACTTCACATTAATATGGTAAAAGTGGACACTCCTTGTCTTCTTTGCTTAGATGATAGTCAGAGAGAATATTAAAGCCAAGGCCATAGCAATTTATAACACTGTGTACGATTTTGTTACTTCAGGGGGCTGCAAGGTCTGAAATATAACAGATATCTTGTAGCTATGAAGATACCACTGTTAATATTGTTTGCAGTAAAGCTAATTTTACAAGCACACTATGGTGATTGCTCCTCTTGGTTGTAGATGGCTGTTCATTTACATAATTAGTCTGGTTTCTACTACAGGGCACAACAAAGCCTACCTTATTACTATCGCTGATTATTCTAGGTAAAATTGCTTCAACTTGTCAAATGAGCAGAGCTTTATTTTTACATAAACACACTCCTGAATTATCTTTCATAAAACCTCCTACTTGCTTTGTTTCTTGTTTTTAATTCACCAACCAGCAATAATCTACCTATGAAATATTGCAGTTTTATTAACATATCCAGGATCAGTACACTACAAAGTGGTTCCAGCATTTTGAGCAGATTATTCTTCTTACACCACTCGGTTCCTTCAGGGGAAAGTGCTTTTATACGTCACTGAAGTGTAACAGTTGGCTTTTCAGAAGTATATGGAAGATGCATAGCCTGTAATCTTACACTACAAAAACATCCATTTATATAGAAAAGTCTAGCCACTTAATTTTCTGTAGGCTTTAATGACTCCCCCCACCCCCAAAGATATTATCAAGCAAAGAAGACTGCTCAGTTTTTACCATTGAAATACCACTGGATTCAAGAGCATCCTTGAGACCAATTGACTTGGTGAAATTATTCCACTGAAATTAAGATAAATACTGCACTAAATTACATGGTAGAGTGGCTATTTGCTCACCATGGGTGCATAACAGCAGCTTCCAACCAAGTGAATTATTAGTTGCTCAGTTGGTTTGCCGTCCACTGAATTGCCTATGAAAACTTGCTGTATAAATTTGTATAAATCATGCATAGCTCAGATGTAAATCATGCATACAATAAAAACTGCATTGCTGCATTAATGTTTCCTGTATTCTTTGCCTTCAACTTGTGCTCCCTTTTTCTTTCACACACCTAACTCACTCTCTTTATGATTTCTAGATGGCTACCCACGAGACGAGATTGTGTACAAGTGGAAGCGAAATTCAGTAGAGACTTCGGACCAGAAATACTGGAGGCTTTACCAGTTTGATTTCATGGGGCTCAGAAACACCACAGATGTGCTTACGACAACAGCTGGTAAGAAGGACGGCAACAAAAGGTCGAGAGAAGGTCAACAACACAAAAAATATGCCGAACACTTGCCTTTCATGGTGTTAAGACTAATAATGATATAAAACCTTTCCTGTAGGGCAATTTCTCATCCACTTTTATCCCACCCTACGTGAAGGTTAAAGGTCAGTTTTGGCTGCAGACTAGCAGCCGTATCTGGCAGAAGTTCAAAGTCCTGCTCACAAGCAGTTCAGCCTCTCAAGCTACTTGACTTTCTTGGTGCCCTGAGCTTTGCTCAGGTTAACATTACACTATGCCCATGGATATAATCATTTCACTACCAGCTCAAAGCTCATAAGTATTCCCCTCAGGTGTAAGCGTATATAGGTTTTTTCACTGATATTAATCACCAAGATTAAAGATTAAGAAGGAGACTTAATTATTCAGTCCCTTTCCTTCTCTCTTCCATGGTTTCAATGTGGCTATTAGGTTTGTGTTCTTTGATAACTGAATATAAGTTTGATGCTTTGGAAGCTGCGACAGGTGTGGAAATGTTATTGCTCCAACAGGTGCCAGTAATTATGCCTATAACTGACACAGGGTGGACAAGTTCCTAATACAGTTTTGCATTCCGTAACCCCTGGATTAATGAGCAAAGCATTATGAATGAATGAGACTGAGAAAGAGGGAGAAGAACAGAAAATTGTTAACCCCTCTTAACCTTGTTTATGAGTTGCATTATCTTCTTTCTAGTATGTGCCATATGGTCTTTTTGTCTCTGGAGAGACATGCTTGGATCTGCATAATGTGACCTGATTCAGCTTTCTAAGAGCTGAACCTCCGTTCATGAATATTCGAGGAACATGACTACTTGGCATGATTAGGAGAGGGAGAACAGGGATCGAATTATTCAAGAGCTCTGCTTCGTTTTATTTTGCCAAATGTTCCACTACGTGACATCAAGTGTATGCTACTTTTTTGCATTAACAAATTTTGCAAAAGACATCTTTTTGCTCAATTGCCATCTCATTTTTGTGTTTCTGATCATAAAAGAGTGAGTGATGAGTGCTCTCATCCCTAGACATTTTGATGGCCTTATAAATTATACGTTTTCCTGGACTCCCGCTGTATCGTCACAACACAGCCAAAGTAATTTTCTGCTGAGATGCTCAAAAGCAATGGCAAACCTACACATCTACCTCATGCTGTTCAAGAAAATTAGCCATTTTCTCATTTATTACCTCGTTTCTTTTTCCTGTTTCACTTGCGGAGCACCATCTCCATACGCATGATGATTAGATCCCCGGCTAAAAATACCTATCATTAATTTACATCATGACAAACTTCAAGAGCGCTGCATTACTCTTCCTCCATCTCTCTCCTATTTCCAAGTACCTCTATCTCCCTCTTCCTGCTTTATCCTTCATTCCTGATAAACACATGAGGTATGAGGCTGTTTTAATGAGAACAGAGTGGACAGATCCCCAGCCACAGCACCACTGGGGAACCCCACTGCAAATTCACCATCATTATCAATTCAGCAGCATCATCTTCCAAAGGCCCCAATACAGAAACTCAAACACTTCAGTGATTTGTTCTACAATCCCAGCGCGCATTCCCCAGAAGCTTCTGTTACGTCCTTTTCTGCCATTAGAGTGAAGAAATGCTGATGTTATCTTTCTTAACATGTCCACAGTGGATTTTTTTAATCTGCCTTTTTGTAAAGAATCTGGTTCATGATATTGATATTCTATTTAATGTTTCTTCTTCTATGTATGCAATCCTTAATACATACAAAAAGTCGAATTAATGTAAACACAACATTGTCCTTGTTGTTACTGGCAAACTCCAAAGTTTCAGACACCAAGACTTACAGTGGATTCAGGAAGTACTCAGACCCTTTTACCCTTTGCAGGTTTTCTTGTGTTGTGAATTCATTCTTGAATGGATACAAATGCCACTTCTATGCTATTTCAGAAAATGAATCAAGAATCAAAAACTGAAATGTTTTCTTCTCAGACATATTCAGACCCTTTGGTGTGGAACTCCAGTTTCTGGTCAGGTGCATTCTGTTTGCTTTAATTAACCTTCCCATGTGTCTAGAACTCAATCAGAGGGCACCTGTTGCAAATCGAATTTATTGGAAATAGTTCACAAAGGCACACACTTGTGTCTGCAGTATAAGAGCCTACATTTGACACTGCATTGTCAGGACAAAAACCAAGCCATGAAATCCAGTTAACTGGTTGTGCATCTCGGCAATCAAACTGAGGCAAGGCATAGGTCAAGGCAAGGATATAAAATGATTTCTAAGTCATTGAGTGTTCCCAGGACCACAATGGCATCAGTCATTTTGCAATGAAAGAAGCTCGGCGCAACCTTGACTCTTCCTAGAGTCGAATTGGGCATCCAGGCAAGAAGGGCCTTGGTCAGGGAGGTGGGAATAAACTCACTGTAAAAGAGCTGGAGAAGTCCTGTGCAAAGATGGGAGAACCTGTTGGATGGACAACCATCTCTGCAGCACTTCATAATCAGGCCTGTATGTCAGAATGGCTCGACAAAGCCACTGTTGACTAAAAGGCATGTGGCAGCCTGCTCGGAGTTTGCTACACGATAGGTAAAGGACTCTGACAACACTTGGAAAAGATTCTTTGGACTGATGAGATAAAAACTGAACTCTTTGGATAGAACACGAAGTACTGCTAATACTGCCCTGTGTCAAGAACAATGGGATAAAGTGTCCACATTGAGGTGTGCAAAGGTTATAGAGCAGTGGCCCCCAACCCCCGGGCCGCGGACCGGTACCGGTCCGTGGATCAATTGGTACCGGGCCGCACAAGAAATCATTAATTATTTCCGTTTTATTTATTATCTGAGTCTGAACGATCTTTTATTTTGAAAAATGACCGTATTCTCTCGGTTACATCTCGGTCACTTGAGCGCCAAAACTGGCTTACTTGTGGACATATTCAGCCTGCTCAATGAACTCAATCTGTCACTTCAGGGGAAAATGACAACTGTCTTCAAGTTGGCAGATAAAGTAGCTGCATTTAAAGCCAAACTGGATTTGTGGGGACGACGC